CGTGCATGTGGGAATTAACGAGATGAAACTTCAGCAGTCAGAAGTCACTAAGAAACATTTTATGGATCTGTTCCACCTCCTTCAATCCTCCGGATTATCTGTTTTTATTTCTGGTCCAATCCCGACTGTAAACAGAGGTGACTGCCTCTACAGTCGTGTTGTGGCGCTGCATATGTGGATCCAGGCTACATGCAGCTCTTTTAACTTTGTCTTTGTGAATAACTTTGCCCTTTTCTGGAAACGTTACGAAGCCTATCGTCCAGACGGATTACACCCAAACAGATACGGTAGCAGCCTGTTGATGGACTACATGCGTCATGTTGTTCAGCGTTCCCCGAGGGGGGCGTGACTGTTTACATCTGAGCCCCCTCGGACCCCACCGCACTCCCCCGCCTCCTGCTCACCAGCACCGGGTGAGTACAACGGTGCAAACACTGCTCCCTGTCCGTCTGGCAGTGCATTACCAGTCCAAACACTGAACTGTGCTGACTCCCTTCTGACTCTGGGAGCTAAAGAACAACAACAAGGGTTTTCACATTTTAGGCCAATTGAGACTGTGTGTGTTCCTCGCACCAGCTCAAAAATGTTTTTAAATTCTAAAAAACGAAATCAAAACAGGACAGCAGTTAGACGGTCCAACTCTGCAAATCTAATTTCTGTTCCCTGTAGAAATCAATCAACCACATTAATCGACTCTGACGTTATTTTTAAACTTGCTATGCTTAATGTCAGATCTCTATGTAACAAATCATTTTTAATTAATAATTTTATCACTTCTTATGATCTTGATTTTATGCTTATGGCTGAAACATGGCTGGACCAAAATACAGGAAATGCAGTTCTAATAGAAGCAACACCACCCAATTTTAAATTCGAATCCGAAATACGAGAAAACAAAAGGGGGGGAGGCATAGCTGCAGTTTTTAGAGAGCACTTTGTCTCCCATAGAATGCCCCTTGGGTTTGAGTATATTTCTTTTAAAATGGAACAAAAGCAATCTTCTACTCTTTTCATTGTCCTGTACAGGCCACCACAGTCATGTTGCGATTTTATTGACCATTTTACTGAACTACTTTCATTCGTGTGCAAAGATTTTGATAGTTTAGTTATTACAGGTGATTTTAATGTACATGTTGATAATGTTGATGACAGAAATGCAAAGGAGCTGGCTTCTGTATTTGAGACCTTTGGTTTCATTCAGCACGTGAGTGGCCCCACCCACAGCAGAGGGCACACTCTTGACCTGCTAATTACAAAGGGGGTTAATGTATCAAATGTTAATGTAGTTGATGTTGCTTTGTCAGATCATTTCTGTGTATTTTTTGACATGTGTTTTGCTAGCAAACCACCAGCTGAATCTACAATTGTTAGAAGAAGACACATACATGAAAACACAAGTGAACTGTTCATGGGAATGCTAAATTTTGAGAAAACTCCATGCTCTACTGTTGATGAATTGTATAACTCTGTCACCACCAGTGTTCTGACTGTTCTGGACGCCATTGCTCCTGTGACGGTTAAAATAGTTACCAGTAAGAAAAAGGCCCCATGGACTAAGGCAGACTCGGTCAGGGCACAGAAGCAAGAGTGCCGGAGGGCCGAACGGAAGTGGCGAAAGTCCAATTTCCAGGGCGATTATGAAATCTTTAAAGATGAGTTGGGTGAATTTAACCGGGTTCTACGTAGAACAAGAGAAATTTATTTTTCTGACATTATTGGAGGTTGCAGTAACAATCTTCGTGTTATGTTTTCAACAGTTGGTAGATTAACAAACCCCCCTGTAAAGTTGCCCCTAGAATTTTCCTCTAAATCTAGGTGTAATGAGTTCGCACAGTTTTTCGATGACAAAGTACAAGGAATCAAAAACACTATCACCTCCACAGCACGTATAACAATGCAACAGCCAGAGAAGCTTTTTGAGCTAACTCACTTTGCACCTGTGGATACTGAAACTGTCAAAAAGATAATCATGAGTCTGAGCTCCTCCACATGTAGCCTGGATATATTACCCTCTAAATTTCTGAAGTCCGTCCTGAGCAGTTTGTTACCTTCACTGACACAAATAGTAAACATGTCTCTGTCGTCAGGAACATTTCCTATAGCCCTAAAAACAGCGGTCATAAGACCTCTCCTAAAAAAGAGCAGTCTGGATCCTGCGGGACTTCAAAATTATCGCCCCATATCGAATCTGCCATTCATTGGAAAAATTCTTGAAAAAGTGGCCTCCCAACAACTTACTGAATTTTTAACAATGAATACTTCTTTTGATATGTTCCAGTCTGGGTTTAGACCCCACCACAGCACTGAGACCGCTCTAGTGAAGGTAACAAACGACATTCGACTTCACACTGATGCAGGTAAAGTCACAGTTTTGGTCATGTTAGATCTTAGTGCCGCGTTCGACACTGTCGACCATGAGATCCTCATGCAGAGACTGGAGGACTGGGTTGGTGTCACTGGCACAGCCCTAGACTGGTTTAGGTCTTACCTGGAGGATAGGAAGTACTTTGTGGAGATTGGAGACTGCGTCTCAGATCATGTGGCCCTGACCTGTGGAGTCCCACAGGGGTCGATCCTGGGACCTCTTCTGTTCAATCTCTACATGCTGCCGTTAGGTCAGTTAATACAAAGAAACAAAGTGTCCTACCACAATTACGCTGACGACACTCAGATCTATGTCTCACTGACTGCAGGAGAACATGGACCACTGGATTTGCTCCTTCACTGTATCCGACAGATCAGTGACTGGATGCAAAATAATTTCCTCCAGCTAAATGGAGACAAAACCGAAATCATTGTCTTTGGTCCCCAGAAACAAAGAGAGGGCGTCATTTGTCAACTTCAGTCTCTCTCCCTACTTCCTTCAGACAAGGTCAGAAATTTGGGGGTAATACTGGACTCAGACCTAAATTTCAATAGCCACATCAAATCAGTAACATCAACAGCTTTTTACCATCTGAAGAACATTGCCAAAGTTAGAAATATAGTGTCCAGGGCAGACTTGGAGATTCTTGTCCATGCATTTGTCTCCAGCAGGCTAGACTACTGCAATGGCCTGCTTACAGGTCTGTCCAAACAGACCTGTAAGCAGCTGCAGTACATCCAAAATGCAGCAGCTAGAGTCCTGACAGGAACCAGGAAGTATGACCATATTAGTCCGGTCCTCAGGTCTCTGCACTGGCTTCCTGTGGCTCAGGGAATAGATTTTAAAACAGCTCTGCTTGTGTACAAGTCTCTCCATGGCCTTGCACCAAAATACATCAGTGACATGTTGGTGTCATATGAACCAGCCCGGACTCTGAGGAGCACAGGGACTGGCCTCCTGCTGGTGCCCAGAGTGAGAACCAAACATGGGGAGGCTGCGTTTCAGATCCATGCAGCTAAGATCTGGAACAATCTCCCTGAAAATGTGAGGGAGGCGTCTGCTCTGTCAATGTTCAAATCCAGGTTAAAGACTCTTCTGTTTGCCTGTGCATACAACTGAAGGATTTTATCTCCATTTCTAATGCACTGTTGTCATTTTTTTATTTTTTTTTTTATATATATATATATATATTTTAATTTCTGGTGTAATTTTGAAAGTTTTAATGGTTTTATTCTTTTGTGTGATTTTAATGTTTTAATCGTGTTTTAATCTTTTGTGTGATTTTAATGTTTTAATTGTGTTTTAATCTTTTGTGTGATTTTAATGTTTTAATTGTGATTCTGGTGTTTGTTTTATGTGATGATTTGTGATGTGGACTGTGAAGCGCTTTGTGTTGCCCTGTGTTTTTTGATTGATTTTTCTTTTCACAGGTGCTACTAATATTGTTGCTTCCACCGTGCCCTGTCAAGTTTGAAAAAGGGATCATGGAGGACCAGTTATGTAAAAGAACTTCCCGAACAAGAATATTTTAGAAAAAGAATTATGCAAATATCTAGAAACCAGCGTCATAACAACAAACATGTCAACATCGCAAACCACATGCACCAAAAAGCAGAGTTAAAACAACAGGAGGCACATTGCTGTAGTTGGTACACAACAGATGCACCCGTGAACAATACGTCACTTTCTTCACACAGACAGAAATGACAAGGCAGAATCTACAACACGGGTCTCAGGTGGGTTCTGACCCACTCCAAGTCCAACTACTATGTCACAAGTTTCAACTAAACTTATTCAGTGATAAGACTCAAATAAAAACACACAGAATCCACACAAAACAATCGCCAGAATACTTTTCACCAGCGTGAGTTTGAATGTTCTGCTTTCTTAAGCCGCGTTCACACTGGATCATGAGTTGCGTCGGCTTTCAATGCAAAGTCAATAGGCGTTCGAACGTCAAAGTGCATGTGCGTCTCGGGATGCACGCACGCACTGTTTTTATTTCTGGTCCAATCACAATCTGGTCCAATCACAATCTGCACTGTGTGCAGCTTCTCTGCACACAGTTGTCTGTGCAGAGAAGCTAGCGGAGCTTGCCGAGCTAACCACGCTCAATAAACAATTACATATCAATCATTTAAAAACCAGAAGCAGCATTTTAAAGTGGATACGATAGCTGACAGGGAGCCAGTGCAGAGACGACAGAACAGGTGTGATGTGTTCTCTACGCCTGGTGCCTGTCAGCAAACGAGCAGCCGAGTTTTGCACGAGCTGCAAACGATGAAGAGATGACTGGTCTAGACCACAGTACAAAGAATTACAATAATCGAGACGGGACGATATAAACATGTGCACAACTCACTCAAACTTATCAAAGGGAAGATAAGGCTTCACCTTACTAAGGACCCGCAGTTGGAAATAGCTGGTTTTCACAACATAAGTGATCTGTTTGTCCAGCTTAAAGGAGCTGTCCATTAGAATGCCAAGATTCTTAACCACAGTCTGAGAGTGTGGAGCTAATGGGCCAAGGACAACATTAAGCGTTACGATCCGTAGATCAAAAAGGGATGATACGACCTCCAGAATCCTGCTTCTATCAAGCACACACGACCGGTCTCTCCTGCTACTTCCTCAGTCAGAGTGCGACTGCCATTTTCAAAATGAGGAAGAGGGCTGCTCCACCCGCAGCGTGAACACTGGGCCAATGAGGTGAGGCTATGACGGGACAGGGCCTATACGTGGACTGGAGCACACAGTCGACATTAAAAGGGGCAGAAACAAAACCCGTTACATAGGGGCAACCCTGGGGTTGTCACAATCCTACTCGGTCCAAAGAGCCTGTGTGACTCCTTCGCCGACCAGATAATCACCCTCGATAATGTCAGTATTGACTCTCCTTTAAGGCTTATATAAACCAAGCAAATAAAACAGCATATTTCCACTTGCGGAACATCGCTAGAGTCAAGAATATTCTTTCTAAAAGTGACGCGGAAAAACTAATCCACACCTTTGTCACCTCAAGGCTCGACTACTGTAACGCTTTACTGGCAGCGTGCCCTAAAACCTCTTTGAAGAGCTTCAGATTCAGATTCAGTTTATTTGCCATTTGCAGTAAAAAACCACATTGGAATACATTAGCAAAAGTCTCCAGTGTGCACAGACAAATACAGACATAAAACAACATTAAAAGACAAAAATAAAACAAATAAAACAGTAAACAAATGTCACTGTGAAATCGATCGACTAAAACAGTTCAAAACAAGTGCAAATCATTAAAGTGCTCTGTTCACACTGATAACAGCTTGTGGATAAAAACTGTTAGCGTAACGAGATGTCCTGCATCTCAGAGAGCGATATCTTCTGCCAGAGGGAAGAAGCTGGAACATGGCTTTCCCAGGGTGGCCAGAAGAGTCATTAACAATCCTAAGAGCTTTGTTTAAAAGTCTGGATTTATAAAGAACCTCCAGAACAGGAAGCTCACAGCCCACGGTCCTCTTTGCAGAGCGGAGAACCTTGTTTAAAGCTCTCTTTTCTTTATCTGTGATGTTTCCAAACCACACAGACACAGAACCAACAAGTAAACTCTCAATGGTGCAGCGATAAAAGTTAAGCAGGATCTTAGAGTTAGTGGTAAATTCTCTAAGTTTACGCAGAAAGTAGAGACGCTAACGAGCTTTCTTAACGACTCGGTCAGTGTTTTTAACACATTTCAGGTCGTTAGACAGAGTTAAACCCAGAAACAAGCTTCCAGCTTGTTCAAAATACAGCAGCAAGGATCTTAACAGGTACCAAAAGGAGGGAACACATAACTCCGGTGTTAAAATCACTCCACTGGCTTCCTGTGGAGTACAGAATAAGGTTTAAAATTCTTCTTCTGGCATACAAAGCCATAAATGGCTTGGCTCCCTCTTATCTTCAAGTCATGTTAAAGGTCCTATATCACGCTTTTCTTCATGTTTCACACTCAATCCTATACACATGTGTGATATTAATGTGTATGATACACCACACAACAATCAAAGCTTGTGAGATTAGAGCCATCTCTTGTATAGAGGTGACGTCACCTCGACTCAAACGAGCTGATCCAGAGAAGAGTCTGCTCCTCTGCCTGTGAGCCCGCCTCCCCCCGCCCGTACGGTGACGTAGCATCACGCTTTTGTCGTTTATCACCTGTACTTAGTAATTTCATACATAAGAATAAACTTTTTCCAACTATGAGATTTCATAACACTTTTAAGCAACTTTTGTTAAAGTTAAACTCATCAATCTATCAATGTGCAGAAGCCAGTACTTTTCCCTTGTTTTGTCTATCTGAAGGCCAAGCTACAAGCACACCGTGGAAGCTGCTGATTGGAGGTCTCCATGCCTCCGCTCTGTATAATACACTTGCATTCTATTGTATCTGTGATCGTGTGCTTTGTTCGTGCTGTCTCTACCATCGACAATAAAACATGTCTTCTGTCTGAATTAAAGACGCGATCCCAGACTATGTCATCTTCTTCACAACAATGACAATCCGTCACATCGAGCCCTATGTCCTCGATGCACAATCAGACCCTAGTTATTTAGTTTACAGAAGTATACAGCGAGTTAGCGTCACTACTTACAGATCGAGGGGGTCCGAGTATCGTCTTTTACCGTGGGAATAACGTGTTTCCACATCAGCTTTTGAGTAAGTCCAGTTCCATTGTCCCTGTAGTTCTGGAACAGTCTCAGTGAAGTGTCGCAGATGGACCGGTTTATAATAGATCCATGAGATGAACAGATGAAAAAAGTCGAGCCGCTTTCTTCCTCTTAGGGCCAAATAGTGTGTCACATATTTACACCCATAACACACTTCATTCAAGTTGACGTGATCCTAACACTTTTAGTTGCTGACAAAAGCATAAAAACAGCAGCTGTATGTGGTGTCCGCGAGACCAGACCACAGACGCTGGACTCGGGAGCCGGAGCCTGTGCGCTCTGATTCGCTGTTTTGATCCGTCAATCACCTCCCGCCGGCTTTTAATTTATTTTTATTTTTATTATTTTTGACAAAAAACAGCATACTAATTGTGTATTGTTTACCCCGTTTTGAGAAAAGTATTTAACAACTATTTTAAATACAAAGCAAACGGGGTCATGCGCGTCATGCGCGTCATCAGTGTGGTTTTTGTCACTGAAGTGGACCCGAGCGTTTCTGTGCCTCACGCTGGGGAAGGAGACAGATTGCTCTCTTACAAAAGATTGACAGAATCAATGAATAAACTACTGTGGGCTTGTGTGTGAAGGCCAAATAGCACGGTGACGTAGCATCACGCTTTTGTCGTTTATCACCTGTACTTAGTAATTTCATACATAAGAATAAACTTTTTCCAACAATGACAATCCGTCACATCGAGCCCTATGTCCTCGATGCACAATCAGACCCTAGTTATTTAGTTTACAGAAGTATACAGCGAGTTAGCGTCACTACTTACAGATCGAGGGGGTCCGAGTTACGTCTTTTACCGTGGGAATAACGTGTTTCCAGATCAGCTTTTGAGTAAGTCCAGTTCCATTGTCCCTGTAGTTCTGGAACAGTCTCAGTGAAGTGTTGCAGATGAACCGGTTTATAATAGATCCATGAGATGAACAGATGAAAAAAGTCGAGCCGCTTTCTTCCTCTTAGGGCCAAATAGTGTGTCACATATTTACACCCATAACACACTTCATTCAAGTTGACGTGATCCTAACACTTTTAGTTGCTGACAAAAGCATAAAAACAGCAGCTCTATGTGGTGTCCGCGAGACCAGACCACAGACGCTGGACTCGGGAGCCGGAGCCTGTGCGCTCTGATTCGCTGTTTTGATCCGTCAATCACCTCCCGCCGGCTTTTAATTTATTATTATTTTTATTATTTTTGACAAAAAACAGCATACTAATTGTGTATTGTTTACCCCGTTTTGACAAAAGTATTTAACAACTATTTTAAATACAAAGCAAACGGGGTCATGCGCGTCATCAGTGTGGTTTTTGTCACTGAAGTGGACCCGAGCGTTTCTGTGCCTCACGCTGGGGAAGGAGACAGATTGTTCTCTTTCAAAGGATTGACAGAATCAATGAATAAACTACTGTGGGCTTGTGTATGAAGGCCAAATAGCATTGTAATCATGTTTAAAGCAGAGAAAAGTCAAAAACCGTGATATGGGCCCTTTAACAACTCAAAAACCCACTAGGCTTGGGTTAGCTTGCAAGTTAGCTCTGTCCATGTGTATACAGTCCATGTTACTCAAGCCCCGGCGATCCAAGATGGCGCCCTATTCAAATGAATGGTTGTGCTCAGTGGCGCTTTGTGACGGCATGGGGGCTGAAAGATTAGCGGAAGTCGCCTGAAACTCGCAAAGATCTATGGGAAACTCGCCTGTATTTGGGCATCGTCTGGTCCTCCCGGTTCTGCGCAGTGGATGATCTCCCATAATGCGTTGCGTCAAACACGCGTGTGTGGGTCTCACACCGGGTCTCACGCACGTGCACAGAGGGGCTCGGCCGCGCTCTGACCAATCAGAGCAGTTCATCAGAGCTGGAGTTAGAGCGAGAGCCAGACGAGCAGAGTTTGTGGCACTAAAGTGTGGATTTAAACAAAACCGAAGGATTTAAGAAGAAAAAAAGTTCAGGATGACAAGGGACACTAAAATCCACACAAAATCCGACCTTTATTAAAGCTGTAGGTTCTCTGTCAGCTGAGGTTGAGCTGTTTTAATATGCATTGAGTTCTATGGGGAAAATTTCTGGGTAGCCCACTGAATTTAGTCTGGTTCAGTCTGCAGTACCGCGAGAATCCCCTGAGCACATGAGTTATTCAGCTAAAAGCTAGTAATACCCTATCCAGTTAATATAATAGATCCATGATGTTACTGCATTCACCCCGGGCGTAGCGTGAGAAAAAGCATTCAAACTTATCATTGTACTGAACAGTTTTTAGGTTTGTTGACTGTGCGAGAAAATGAGAAATGACTTCAGACTTCTGCAAACAATGAAGTAGCTTTGATTTGTACTAGCTTCTTTATTATGCTAAAGATAGAGACAGAGATAGTAAAAGTCAATTGCTTCATTGTTTGAGATTTTAGATTTGCTTCCTTATCACGCTTAAGCTAAATATTTGATACTTGCTTCTTGGTTATGCTACAGTTAGAGTTTTATATTATTTCGGTATAGAGTTATTGTTTAGTATCTTGTGCTGTGTCCTCCTCATTCCTTCGGCCCTGTAACTGCCGATGCAACACTGAAATTTCCTCTCTGTGGGACGATAAAGCATGTCTTCATTGTAATTTGCACAGTTTGAAGACAGCAAAGATTTTAGGTGAAATGTCTTTCGTCATCATTCTCTTAAATCATCCATCCATCCATCCATCTTCTACCCTTTAATCCATTTCTGGGTCAGGGGGGTGGCAATCAGAGATGCCACCCAAGTCTCATAGCACCAGCCCCTCACTGACCCTCTGCAGGTGGTGAGTCCACAGGAGGACGGCTGCTCTCTGAGTGTGAGCATAGCCTTGATCTTTCAGTGGGGGCTTTTTGGGCAAAGTGGGGTTAAGTGTCTTGCCCAAGGACACAACGACAGCAGTCATCAGTGGGAGTCGGTGGAGAAGGTGCAGAGGTGGGAAATCATCTCATGCTTTAAAGAAGCTATACCCGATTTTATTTAATGAGTTCATAACAATGCTTATTACTACATACAAGTTGTATTATAATGCGTAATTTAATTGAAAACTTGAGCTCATTGATTCAGCTTTGTGAACTCAGGCCGTAAAAAGTGCTGAGTAGAGACCAATCACAGAACAAGGCTGCGTCCTCTAGCTTAAACGAGTGCGAATGGAGGCAGAAAGTGACAATATACCTGCTCTGGCTGTAACTGCAGACAAAGAGGGAACTAAAGCGAAAAAATAATCAAAGAAGAAACCAAGCCCGGGTGAACATAGCTAGCTTATATCGTATCCTCCGAGAGACTTACAGTCTATGGGAGAGACCTGAGGGTGCGGACCGCCTCGGACTATCTATGGTCGGACTACATTCAGACGCGAAATTAGCAGTAATCTTTCAGTTATATATTTTGTTAGCAGAGCGTTGCTTTTGTACCATTTCATCAGTGATTGTTGTACAGTTTAAGTTGCGCTAATGCTAATGCTAATGTTATCAGATTGCAAATAAAACTAGATGGCTCCGTGGGATGAGAGCGTAGGGGAAATGAGAAGCCTCTGAGCGAGTTGAGGGGCGGGGCTAAACATTCAAACCTTGCAGAAACGGGTATAGCTCCTTTAAAGTTTCGTCTCACCATATCGAGGACTTTGAGGTTTCCAAAGGAGAAGGCGATGGCGTTGGGGGGTGTTGCCACGGGTAACATGAAGGCCAGCGAGGAGGCGATCGTGCAGGGAAGCATGATGTACAGAGGGTGGATCCCAATCGCAGACGCCTAAAAACAAAGTTAGCAAATACAGTACAAGATTCAAGAGTTTATTTGCCATTTGCAGTAAAACCACATAGGAAAAATTGCGCAAGACTACCCCAGTGTGCACCAGACAGAGATCATAGTACACACCGGAGCTCTTGCCACGATTGTTGCCAATTGTCAATTATTTTCAGAACGTCTTTGATTTTAAGATAAAAGATGAGAAAGTTTGTGTTTTTAAATACAGTGGAGGAATGTGCACCGTATAGAACAGCTGGGATAAAGCTCTAACAACTAAAAACTGGTAAAACTCTGAAAAATGAACTGAACTGAACTATAGAATGTCATTGGGCTGAACTTCAATTTAATTTGTTTTTGTGTGGCTTTAATCACAACAATCACATAGGAGCCAGTGGTAGCAGGTTGTAGTATGGAAATGGCGGAGAATGCGATAGTAAAGTAATCCTTTCTGGTTCTATCAAGAAATTGAAGCAGGAGCAAGAGGAATGTTTAGCACATGTAATTACAGGCAAAGATTGTGGCGCTACTCCCCACGGGCTCCTTTAGTGGCAAAGGAGATGGCTAAAGCTAGGCTAAATGCTAAATGATAGCGACTCACTCGGGCGCATTACATACGTCACGGTAAACTCAGATCCAATCGTTTCAATCTGTAAAAGGAGTTAACCCCTCCCACCTGTTCACGGAGCTCGATGGAGCATATCCAGATCTTAGTATGAAATGAAATGTGTACAATGGTATGGTACGACCAGGCTAAGCCAGTGGTGAACAACGTCCATAAATGATGATTAATGTGCATAGAGAGTATGTGTGTGTTGGTGTGCGTGTGTGTGCGTGTGTGTGTTGTGTGTGTGTGTTTTACCATGGACCCCAGGATGGGCAGGAACAGTGTGGTGGTGGCCGTGTTGCTGGAGCACTCAGTGAATGTCGCCACCAACAAACAGAGCACCAGAGAAATGGCAAAAGGAGGAATCTTCTTTAAAGGTGTCAAACTCTCGCCGAGCCACACTGACAAACCAGACTCCTACAATACACACACACACATTCACACACGCACACATTCACACACACACACACACACACACACACGTTAGAATATTTCTCTGTTTCAGTAAAAAAAAAGTCTTTTTTGGTCAGTACCAAACTTTTATTGTGTCCTGAGAGTGAGTCTGATGTGTGTGTGTGAATGGCACAGACTGGTTGCCTCGTTTCTGTGAGTGTGCCCCAGGGCAGCTGTGGCTACAGAAATAATTTATCACGGCTGTGTATGCAGTGAATGAATAACGACCTGTGAAGATTCTTTCAGTGTCCAAAAATGGGCTGTATAAAAACGTATCTTTGACCCAAGTGCAATTATAGCTCCGGAGTTCATTTAATGTATTTAAATGAACTTTAATTTAAATGAATTTTGTAGTGAATTTAATTATCATTCATTTAATGTTGATGATGATGATGTCACCTCGCTGCCTTTAGCCAGAGCGAAGCCTCCTCCCAGCAGCAGGATGATGTTCCAGGGCATGCGTTTGTGCACCACCTGCCAGTCCAGCAGCGCGGGCGGAGCCTTCACCTGCTTCCCTGAGGATCACAGTCACAGAGTCAGGTCTGAACACAGCTCTGAGGCACATGACCAGGACTTTTCCATTCTATAGAGAGAGAAAAACACACGCACCGGCCTCGTTAAAGCCGTATCCTCTGAAACTGGGCATCCGCGACGGAATCATAAAGAATAACATGGACATCAGGATCGCAGTGGTTCCATCGGACACATACCTGTAACAAAAGGAAAACATGTGTGAATGAATAAATGCCTTCAATAGTAATAGTAATAATAATATGGCATTTTATTTGTCAATCGCTCAAGATGACTAAAGTGCTATACAATAAAATAGCATAAAATCCTTAACGCAACACTAGCACAGGGGATAACACAACATAAGTATTGTTATTGTCATTGTTTTCAAATATCTACTTATTTATTCTTTTTGTACGTTGTTTCTTTATTGTTAGTTGCCGTTTGATTGTCATAGTTATTGCATCCTGGTCTATATATGTGAAAGAGTATATGTAGGTGTACATGTTTGTATATATTTCTCAGCTTTATATCTCCCACAAGCTCAAACACTTACACATGCACGCACACACACACACACACACACGGCGGCACGGTGGCTGAGTGGATAGCACTCTCGCCTCTCAGCAAGAAGGTCCTGGGTTCGAATCCCGGTCGGACCAGGGCCTTTCTGAGTGGAGTTTGCATGTTCTCCCCGTGTCTGCGTAGGTTTCCTCCGGGTACTCCGGTTTCCCCTACCACTAAAAATATGTCCAATAGGTCTGGCATGCGCCCCCTGTACTGGCGACCCCGCTCCCCTCTCTGTGTGGAGTGAGAGACAAATGCCCATAATTAACAATTGTAAACCGCTTTGAGCTTACAAAAAAACTTACTAACTTACTAAACTTACTTACTTACACACACACACACACACACATACTTACCCTACCCTAACCCCACTAGTACCTTTGTTGTTTATTGTACTGTAACTATGTAGTTTCCTGTATGCCTAAATAAAAAAATAAAAATAAATAATAAATAAAAAAATCCTAAAAAACATAAGAAAACACATTTCAAAGTGCTACAGCAGGTTAAAAACATTATTAAAACAAAAAAATACAAGAAAAAATACATTTGATTTTACTCATTGTAAAATTGTGCCAAATTCTGTTTTCCCAGACAATGTGTTTTATTTGTGATTTATTTATTTTCATTTGTCACCGCAACACAGAGAAGACAGTCGTAGCAAACATGCCCAGCTCATCCTGGATCCCATTTATTCAAAGAAATGGAACATCTTGTGAGTTCTACAAGTGTATTTCTAAGTCTGATGAGTGTGTGTTTAGTTCATGTAATAACAGCACAGTGCTTTGGCGTTTGCTGGAGTCCAGAGAGACCTGTTGTTTGGTGAGAGAAACCGCGGCACCCAGAGGAAATCCCCGAGCCGCTCAGACCTGACGACAGCGACAACAAACTAACGTGTCGGTAGCGTCACTGTGGAAAAACATCTGAACAACAAAAATAGATTCAAAGAGGTTGTCTCTAGACAGTTAATTTAACCAATAGTAAATGTGTAATATTGATCTAAATTTTGTGAACTATAAACGTGTGTAAATATTTATCCCTAATATTTCTACCGGTTTTGACAGTGTAGATTAATTTTTGAGAGAGAAGTTGTTGGATGATAGAAGTTAACATGCAAATCTGAATTTAGCGTTTATAAAAAGCAAATCGCAAATGCTAAAAGATTTCATTTGTTTTTGACAATATCTCAAGTGAAATAACATACAGTACTATACAATCGCATCAGTGTGTTTGCAGCCGGTATTTGTTCAAATTCTCCTGGTGGTAGCATAGAGAGTTGCAGGCGGATACTGTAGCATTGATTATCCTTGATACTAGTTTCCTCATATATTTTCTACTTAAAGTATTAAAACGCATTCTAAAACATGTTGAAAACAGCAAAAAATTATGCATAAAACTCGGATGAAGGGAATGGAAAAGGCACAAAATAAAAAGATAATGAATATAATAAGTAATTTATATATTAAGGTTAGGCGCACTTTAATGTAATGTAATTAATCTTTAGACTTGCAAAGCAGCTTTGTACAGTCTTTATACAGTCTCATATACGTTTAGGTCTGGCACCAAGCTATATTTCTGAACTTTTAACCCCTACGAGCCCCCCCGCAGCCTTAGATCCTCGGGCAGGTCCCTGTTGACTGTTCCAAGGTCGAGGCTCCGGACGAAAGGTCCTTCTCTGTCCGGGCTCCTCGGCTTTGGAACCACCTGCCCGAGGAGATAAGGATAGCACCATCAGTATCCTCTTTTAAATCTCTTCTTAAAACCCACTTTTATCAAACAGCTTTTAACTGTTAGTTTTAAACTTCACATGCTGTATTTTAATGTCTGCTTTGTCTTTGTCTCTTTTGTGTTCTGCTCTGTTTGCTTTGTGTTTCTGTATCTAATTATTTTGACCTTGTATTTTGACTGTTTTTATTGTTTATCATGCTTACTGTGCAGCGCTTTGTAAACAGTGCTATACAAATAAAGATTATTATTATTATTATTAATGCTAACATATAGCATTAACTGACCTCTCGAAAATGTCTTTACAGGATGGTCCAAAAGTCGGCTCTTGGCCCAAAGCTCCGTCCCACATGTGTGTCAATGCTGAGGGGGGTGGATTTTTTTGGACCAGTCTAGTTTACTCACTGTGAATTTTTGAAGTCACTCGTTTAAATGAATGGAGCTTGTGCAGCTGACGCATGCGCAGATGCGGTTTTTTTCACATTTTCCAGCCCCAGCGGCCATTTTGAATCACTCCATGAAAGCCCAAATTTTGGCCCATTATTTAGAACGGTGGAGATAGGCGTGACACAGTCTATGGTTAGAAGCTAAACTGCATTTTGTTGCAAAGTTCTGACATTGTAATGACAATACAATCTAATCTAATACAAATGACTCACGGAGCGTCCTGGTTGAAGAGAACTGTGGCCCATCCTGGTATGAAGCCCGGCTCTCTGGTGAACCACAGCAAAACCAACAGGACGAAAATCACCAGGACCATGATCTCTGCGAAACATATGGAGCCCAGTTTCCGGTACTCCTCCCGCATCACGGCGTAGGCCTCACGGTCACGACTGCTCTTCTCTCCACAACCAAACGACTCCTTTAGACTGACAATGAAAACAGCACGTTAAAGGCTATTATTGGCCAACACTCAAAAATCTAACTAATATTACAAGTATGTTTTTGTTGCGGTTTGTGTCACTTAAAGCTGACCTAACCCTAACCCTATAACCCTTACCTTATTCCTATAACCCCAACCCTATTCTTATAAATCTAACCCTCCCCCTATAACCCTAACTTTATAATCCTAATCCGATAAACATAACCCTATTACCCCAGTACTAACCATATAATATTAATCCTATAAACATAACCTTATAACCCCAGGCCTAACCTTATAGTTTAGTTTATTTATTTAACATGACAGTGTACAATAAACATAAACCTCAAAGGGAAAGATGCATTGTACCAGGTTATAGCTCAAGAGGTAATTTCCACCCGTAGTCCCTGGGCAGGCTGATGTTATAATCCTAATCCTATAAACATAACCCTATCACTACAGCCCTAACCTTTTAATCCTGATCCTATAAACATAACTCTATAACCCCAGCCCTAATTTTTTTAACCCAATCCTATAATCATAACCCTACAACCCCAACACTATTCCTATAAACCTAAATTTAACCCAATAACCCCAGCCCTAACCTAATAATCCTAATCCTCTAAAGATAACCCTTTAACCCCAGCCCTAGATTTATAATCCTAATCCTATAAAACTAAACCTAACCCAATAACCCCAATTGTAACTTTATTATCCTAATCCTACAAACCTAACCCAATAACCCCAGCCCTACAACCCTAGTCCGATAAACCTAACCCGTATAGCCCCAATCCTAATCCTAAAAAAATCTATTCCTGTCCCTATAACTCTCTTTTATTCATTAATGTATTGTGTTTTCGACTGGGACAGTGCATGTTAATGAACACACCTCACAGTCCCCACAGTCACCCTCAAAAACACACACTCTTCATTCCCCTGAACTATTGTACATGCTTTTAGTGGTAGGGAAAACCGTAGCACCCGAGGAAACCTATGCAGACGCAGGGAGAAAATGTAAACTCCACTCAGAAAGGCCCTGTTACGATTCAAACCCAGAACCTTCTGGCTGAGAAGCGAGTGCAGCCCCTTTAACTCATCTCTGATAAATCTATTCTATTAAAGAGATAAATCCGCCGCTTCAGTAATGTAAATAACTTCCAAGTGAGTACATATCAGTAGATCCCAGTAGAGCGTCCTCATTCATTTGTGCCAAAATTCTTTCACAAAACAATGTAACGGCCTCTTCAATAAAATCTTGTCTTAAGAATCCTAAGAAATCTGTTTTCCGAGGACATAAGGACGTTCGTTTTTGTAGCTCATGTTTTGAAGTTTATTTTCAACTTTTGCAATAACAGGAATGAACCATGAGTCAAACAGACGTGAGGTGAACTTACTTGAAGCCGAGGAACATGAACTGGAGCCACAGATACGAGAAAATCAGCATCAAGACCATGTTTGGGAAACAAAAGCCGAACCAACTCGCAAAGTTGATGATGCCTCCGTTGTCTGGGTACAGCCTGAAGGAAAACAATGCAGCTCTCAGAGAGGAGACAGAAGGAGATGTGTGTTCAGAAAGATGTTTGTGGAAGTTGAGGGGCGACTCGTGGCTATTTTCAAAGGTACATGTCGATCACAGTCTGTGGTCCTGAAGCAACCTGCTCCGGAGCGTCGGTATTGTTTGCCCATCACTACTTACTGGTTCATCTGTCCCTGCAGGATGAGGTTGGGGGTGGTCCCAGTGAGAGTGGCCGTGCCCCCGATGCTGGCGGAGTAGCAGACACTTAGACTCATGCCTTTGGTCAACAGGTCGTACTTGGCATCTCGCGCTTTACTTCTCGCCTCCTTCGAGGCCTGCCGCTCGACCTCCACTGGAGACACAGCGTCATGATAAAATTTAAAAATGGTAAATTACTTTACATACACTTATTTAAAGAAGTACATTTGCATCATAGAGGTTATTTTTGTGAGCATGCTACTGCATATTCCTGAGTGTTGTGACAGTATCAAAAATTGGTGCAAATCCGTTGAAGACAATATCCTGGTCAGACCTTTAATTGGATGTAAACCCCCACTGGGTTTTTTAAGAGTTTTTCCTTGTCGATGCAGGAGGGTCTTGTTGGACAGTTAGTGTCCAACAGAAAGGATTGGTGATGATCAGGACACTTTAGCATTCTACAACATGTATGGACATTTTCTTCTGTGTGTGCTTTATATTCTTCATGTGTTTTAACTGTTGATTCTCTGACCTGTGTTGGTGATTTCAATGGTTTTGTTAAGTCTCTGAGATGACTTCTGTTGTGACCTAGGGCTATACAAGAATACATTGTATTGTATTGTATTGTATTTGTCAAGAAATGTTATGTGTATTATCATATTAATAAATGTGTGTAGATTAGTAGGGTCTAGTCAAGTTAACCAACTCATGCATTGAGGGTGGCGAGAATGCAGAATTCTTTCAGCCCCCAGGCAAGAGTGAAAGACGAGAAGAGTAAACAAGCATGAAGCCAGAAAACATCTGGGTTGAGTTGGTCTCATACAAGACGACACTTCTTCTGATGGATGAGAAGATTGTTTTCTAACCTAGAGTTCATAGGTCATATTGTCACGTGTTTTAAATCCTTTGGTATAAGAGGCGAGGCCTAACTATCAGCGTGGTCTTTTGTGCTTTGCCTCTCGTCCGTGCAGACCCAGGCTTCTCTCTGCCTGGCTTTTATATGTATCCTGTTTTATATATTAAACCTTCTTTTATATCTATCTAAGTTTGTAGTTTCTTTCCTTTCATCGGGCGACTGTTTAAGGAAACCTGGCTGAACTAGCAGTAACATTTTTTGGTCCTTCTTGCCCCGGATGTCAAAACATCTTTTTTTTGGAGCTGACCATCATTCCAACTGGAGATCTGACAACAGCAGCGAGGCCTGGAGGTTGCAGGTGGAGGAACAACTGCAGCGACAGTCTCCGTGTGGGTTTGATCAGCTTTGAAATTCGGATTGAAGACATAAAAGCCACGGTTTCCTTATGTCGCCAAAACAGGCAAGTTGGTTTTACTTTTTGAGTCGGGGATTCAAATAAAAAAAGGCCTGGGATAACGGGGATTATCCTTTTTAAATAGTCGGGGACTATAGTGCAGGCAGTCTGGGCCGGGATAACGGGGTTTATCTTTAGATATTCGGGGACTATCATAGACTGTATAATAACGGGGTTATTATTAAGAGTAAGTCGGGGACTACTTTTTACTGCAGTTAAAAGTGAACTGGGTTCATTTTGAATTAAAGATGTCTGTGTGAATGTGTGTGTGAAAGGAGATCAATTCAATACTTGAAGCACCGGACAACCAAAAACCTAACGGTGATAACGAAAAGTTGTCGACTTGGTGAAGTAGAGTCGGATTGCATCTCATTATGTTTTAAGTAATCGTGAAAGTGGTCAAAAACAATTACATTCCTTGTGATTAAACACCCAGGAGAAACCGGATGAAACATTAGGTTTTCATCTAGAAGCTTGTTTCTCGAGGAAGTAATTTGGCCCGTGAGGCATTCCACTAAGATTGTTTACAAATGTGTAATTAATATCCACTGTTGTATAAGCAATAGTTAATAAATAAAACCTGGAAAAAGAAATATGGTTTTGAGGGTAAACTAACCCTGAAAGAGTGTGAAATACTGGTGATGAAAGTTAGTCTTTGGACTTAAGTCCAAAAAGAAGGCAACAGAAAAACAAGTGCATGAGCAGAAAATGGCGGAGTTGTGGCTAGCAGCTGCAAAGTGTAGAATCCAGTACAACAGCAGCAAGTACAACCCAGACAAGTGCAGATAGAGCAGGCTGTAGCACAGGCTCATAACCACACAGCAGCACCACCTCAATATACCCCACTGCAACAGACAACAAATCCATTCCCAGATCATCCCGTAAAACTACAGGATCATTTGTATCCACATGTAGAGCTAGAAGCAGCAGCACAACCACAAGTCTGTGATGTGCAAACACCTGTTGCTACTAGATCACGGCATCCAATGAACGCGTCTTGGAGCAAAAGTTTTGGGAGCCTTTTCAGTCCAAGGTTTGACTTCTCAGAGAGAGGTGCAGATGCATTTCCAATGATAGAAGTGCCCAATCCCACTCATGATCCACAAGTGTTAGGAAGTCTGCCTACAATGTATGTGTTTCGTACTTGGACGAAAGCAGACATAATAAAAGCCACAGAAAGTGTCCCGAGCCATAGAGAAGACCCAGATGGTTTTTGTGATGGTATGAGACAACTAGTGGACATGTACAGACTTAACGGAATTGAAATTAGGGACATTTACATGACGAAAATGGGAGTGGACTGGGCTAGACTAAGACAACACTATAACCCAAATAACAATGCAAACCCACCTGTGTCTCTTCCTGCAGCTGACCCGCTTATTGATGGTAGATTAAATACTCTACATAATCAAATCAAAGAAATGTTCAAAACTTTACCTGACTACGGGAAGTTAGCTCAGGTGAGACAAAAGAAGGATGAGACAGTGGTAGATGTTAGAGTGCGGTTTGAAACGGCCTTTAGAAAACACAGTGGGTTAAGGGACAGTAATGCAGCTGAACGTGTCATTTGGGACCAGCAGTTTAAACAAGGGATTTTAGCCAATTTAAGACCAGAAATCTCTGAATGGATAAAGAAAAATTATGTTGGATTGCCTACTGCGACACTGCCTGATTTCATTACACATGCGATCCATGCTGAAGTTGTTGCAAGAAACAAAAAGAGAAATAAAGAAAGAGAAGATCAAGCAAAATCAGTAGACACTTTCTTGCAAGATTTAGGGGACATGTGTTATCAGAGAGCACAAGGCCAGAGTAGAGGCACATGGCAGAATAGGGGCAGAGGTCAGAGTAGAGGGAGGGGGCAGATGAGGACTAAAAGGGATTATAAAGTGGACAAAAACAATGATTATTGTTTCATATGCAAAAAGAAAGGGCATTGGGCCAGACAATGTGAAGCATGGGCCAGAGAATGTGAAGCAAGTTCAGATGAGGAAAAAGGGGAATACGTGGGAAAAAGGGATAGAAAACAAAAACATCACAATGCATGACTAGGAAGTCAAAACAAAACTAAAATGTTGACAAAAAGTAATGATGATAAAGAGCAAAATGATACAGAGACAATTCCAAATGTAAAAATGACTTCCAACATTAAAAATGAAAATGGATATGATTCTGATTTGGCAAAGCAATGTGATGAGTTCCTAGATCTCACTCAACTAGACATCTACCATGTGTGGTAAACCAGAAATAACACTGTACATTGAAGAAAGGCCCTATGTGTTCCTTTGTGATACTGGAGCTGATAAAACAGTCATTAGAGATGTGAGCAAAATACCCATTTCTAAAAACTCAATCATAGTGAGATCAGCAAATGGGTCAGTCCAAACACAACATTTGAGTCAGTTGATTACAATAACAAATCCAGAAACATGTGATGAAGCCATGTTTAGGGTGGTCCTCTCACCGCTGTGCCCTTATAACCTACTGGGACGCGATGCAATGGTTGCTTTAAAAATGGGGATTTTTCCAAATAAAAATGGAAATATGGAGGCTAGGCGTTGTAACAACACAGATATCCATGTCCTAGAAGGGGAGACATCACTATTGTATTGTTGGACTTTGGACATGCCAGCAAGTGACCCTGGAGAAACAGGGAAAGAAATTGTAAAAAGGGCAAAACAGGCATTCATTCCAAGTGCCTTTGTCAAACAAAATGATGAGTTACATGTCACTTTGAGACACAAAACAACTCCAGGAGGTGATCCAGTTTATGATAAACTAGTACAAAAATTGGGCCCACAGCGGGTTCAAATTAGAGACATTTACTGGAGAGACAAAACAAGTTTTTGCACTGTAGGAGTGACAGATGCAGTAAAACAGCTTATGGGGGATTTGCAGAATCCACATATCTCTATATCCAAAAACCCAGAGGCAATGTGGAGTGATAACAATGCCTTTGTTGGTCAAGTGGAATCAATTAGAGATTGGGAACAAGATAAAGAAGTAGGAGTATGCTTGAGTAAAACAACTGGTTGGAGAAAGCAAAAGATAAACTGGACAGTAGTATGCACTCCAGCTGTACATCTGACTGACCAGGATGTTTCATCATAAATGACTCTCACACAAGAAGAGGAGGAGGAGCTTGAGCAAGTTCCAGATGAGGTGTGGTCTAAAGGGCCCACAGATGTTGGGTTAATGAAGGGAATGTTACCAGTGGAGATCAGAGCGAAAACTGAGTACAGGCCCAGGATAAAACAATATCCTTTAAAAACTGATGCAGTAGAAGGAATAAAACCTGTAATACAGGATTTAATTAAAAAAGGAATAATTCAAAAATGCTCAGAATCCCCTTGTAACACACCAATTTTCCCAGTAAAAAAGGCACCTCCATCCACAGCCTGGAGAATGATACAAGATCTGCGAGCTGTGAATGAAGCCGTTATTCAGAGAGCACCAAATGTCCCTGATCCATACACACTGCTAAATCAATTATGATCAGAGGCTAAAATCTTCTCTGTGATTGATCTCAGCAATGCATTCTGGTCAATTCCAGTGCATAAAGACAGTCAATATTGGTTTGCATTCACTTTTGAAGGGGAAAGATATGTTTTCACAAGATAAAGCCAAGGGTTTGCTGAATCACCTACAATTTTCTCTGATGCAATAAAAAATTGTCTTGCTGAGTTTAATCCACCAGAGGGAAGCCAAATTTTGAGCTTTGTGGATGACATTTTGGTGGCGTCAAAGACAGTTGAGAGCTGTAAAAAAGATACTATAGCTCTACTGAAATATTTGGCTAAAACTGGCAATAAAGTCAGCAAAAATAAATTACAGTTATGGAAGA